GGTGCCTGTTCCACCTCCTGTGCGCTGCTGAGGTGCCCTTGAGCAAGGCACTCAACCCCCTAACTGCTCCTGGAACGCCAATACGTGGCAGCCCATTACTCAACAATCACTCCACATTTGCATGTCCATGGACATTAATAAAGTGTATCTTGTTCTTCTTCTATAAATATAGAAGAAAAACAAACATAACACAGCAGTGAAAATAGAGCCACCGAATGAGTGAACCAGGCCCAGGTGTCAACTCTCTGATGGACTTGAGCAACGCAATATTTTTGTAACTGGAATGAATTAAATAAAAATAATAGTGGGATGGGAAAAATGTTAAACATCCTCCCTATATTTCCAGATAAATGTAGATTAAAAACTAAAGAAAGTTAAAAATATGTAATTCTCCCCATTTTATTCCCCCTCATTAATAATTTGTATACAGTACCTAAATACACAAATTTATACAAATCCTGCTGTAACCAACTCTTTATTGCAACCATCATACCAACAGCGTATTTATTATTAATACTCATGATTTAAAAAATAACTCTGACTTGATAAACATGCTGCAGTTGTATATAAATGTCCCGAGCTTGAAAATTATTTAAAATATTCGGGGGGTTTTTATGTGTATTTCTCGATCTTGGGTGTAAGACAGATTTGCGAGTGGCAGCGTGGCTTGCTCTGTTCTGCACCATGGCTGCATAATACCACAGCATGGCATCTGTGACTTCTCCACAAATCAATAACACATAAATGTACAGGCTGCACCATCATGTTCTATAAAGGAAACAGTGTGTTTTGTTTTTTTTGCTGACAGAAGTAAAAAATAAAAAATAAAAGCTAGAACAACATTTCAAAGCCTGTGTTCTTGTTTATCTCTATGTGCTTCTGTAACCATGGCACTTAATTGGCTGCTGACACTGCCTGCACACACACACACACTAATTACGTTTAACAAAAAAAATTTACTTTATCAGTCCAAAATTAATCAGGTTGCTAGGTACATAATCTCAGTCCTGTGAAGGGAGCCTGCTGTTTTCTTCTGCTCCAGTCTTTTCCCTGTAATGACTTTTACTCTGGTTGATTTGTTGAGACATGTTTTATGCACTGATGAAGAGTGTAACTTGTCCCCTAAGTTTGCTGCACAGAAACCTGACCACCAAACCCACAAATGTGGTGAGATATAATTTTATGGTTTCTTTGCGTCACTGTGACACTTCTTGTCTCTGTGTTAAAGTGCATATAAATTCTGTGTCAGAAAGGCATCAATAACAGTGAAAGATTACCTTTACACAGCTATTGATCTACAATGTGCCATTGCTGTGTCTTTAGTGTTTGATGGCTAAATTACTTGACCGCATCATGTATGTACTTGTATTTATGGAAACTAATAATAGCCTTTGCCTATCCAGGAGTAGGAAGATAACACAACTTTCCACCCAAAGGTTGAATGGGCCAGGCTGATATACTATACGTGGCTTGGTGTGTGATTGCTAGATAGCGATGGGATGTGACAGCCAGCAGACGCTCTGTCCTGCACTGTGCTTCAGCTCTGACAGCCTCAGAACAGGTAACTTAAAACCGTATGTCCTCTGCACATGTGTTTTCTTGTAGTTCCTCTCCCGTGTAATGATGCATGCAGGAAAATATACTGGCAACCTGGAGGAATAAAATGTCAAGATATTATACAGTACGTATTTCTTTTTTCTCTAACCTTTCAGAAGTTATGAAGTATACAAGCTCATACCACAACGGGTGCTGTGCACAAAATATTGCAACCTCAGAGCAGATATAAAACACATCCAATAACAGCAGCAACATAAAACATAAAATGACTGCAAGTGCAACAAGTATGACAATTCAACTGATGCAAGCTGATATGTCATTGTATTAAAAATGATTTGTTTGGATTAAATCAATCAGCAGCAGCTGACAGGAGTCTGCTTGTCTTGTGTGATTGAAAAAAAATCAAACATGTATCATCATGACTCCATCCTTATGCCAACGCCAACACCAAACCCACTTTAAATCGTCTGCACTCTGTATTTCCTGCCATGAATGTGATGGGTTCAGAGAGGCAGCGTAATGCTTCCCAAGGTTTCCATTGGGTTGATGAGTGATGCGAGTAATCATGGTGTCTGTACAGACTAATCATGAGCAACAGCAATGGCAGCATTTTGTTGTTGTGGGCTACTGTATGTCCAGACCCATTTCTCTCTCCTTTACTACACATTACCACCTCATCTCAAAAATTGTGCGCAGAGAAAGATATGGCTCATCATATACACTCAGTCTACTGCCATTACAGAGAGCACCGCCCCTACACTCATACATTACAGTATTTTTAGTCCTCTTCATTAGGGGGATAGATTGCCCTCTATCCTTGTGTTTTATCATAGCTCAGCAGTAGCAGGTGTCATATACTGTTCTCCCACCCACCTGTGCCTGAAATTAAACGTAGTTAATTTACATCCTGAACTGCTTTGTAAGTCATTTCATGCTGGCAGGGTGTGTGCTGTCCCACTTGTGCTGTTCGCGTTGAGATTGAGTGTTGTGTTTAGAGCTTCAGTTTCAGACTATACAGGCTAAATAACTGAGACCAGAATTTACTGTCGAGTCCTCTGGAGGTGTTGTGGGCTGAATTCAATGAAAGGGAGGTGTCTGTTTGATAACCCCTGCGAACTCTCCGCCCACACCGCTTCCCTCTCCTCATCACTCACTAAGGCACTCACCCTTAAATATCTTTATTTAAATAGTACTCTTATCTGTTACATCATGTTTGTGCAAACACCTATCAGAAGCTCTATATTTTACACCCTAAACTAGTTGATGTTAGTCACTCATTTGCTTCCGTTTGGTCTGATTTCATCTGGAGAAAAACTGAAGGAACTCAAACTAAAATGACTTTCTTGCCCTTGTATTTGTGTCTGGCTTTGTGTCTACATCCATGCTAGTGGCTCTGTGAGGCTGTACAAAGTGCTACATTCAAGGGGCTCATCCCTTTGTTCACAGGCATGAGTGTTTGCAGTTAAAATTGCAGAAGAACAAAAGGAGAGTGACATTTCAAATACAGTTTGAATTGTAAAAATATATTCAGAAACTGTGGAGGTATCAGTGTGGTATCAATTGCCTGCAAATTAGCACTAAAAGTATAACTGATGCTGATGGGAATATCATTCGTTTTGCAAATATTTGGTTATAAACTAGCCTGGGAACCAGACGAATCTGCAAGCTCACGTTTTATGTGCTCTGGCTGATGAGTCTGGTCCTCCTTTCCATTCAGACAGAGTTGTGGGTCTCTGTGTCCAGAGACATTTTGGTTTTTGGCCGTCAATAACGGCTAGCATGGCTTAAAACTCTTGTCTTGTTGAGAGTTATGCTCACCTGTCAATAGCCAGAAAATCTAATCAGAAGCTTAAAGCAAACACCCCCATTAATGAAAGAGAAATGAGCTTGCTGAACTCCCAAAATGAGCCACATAATTTTAATTACTGCTCTCCATCGTAGGAAGACACGCACAATCTATCTTTAGAAAGAACAGTAAAGAGGGAGGCATCAGAGCCTTTGTTCTTCTGACTGTCCCAGCTTTATGCTAGGATGATGGTGGTTGCTTAAAGGCAGATTTTGTAAAGGTCACATAGCAGAGTGCATAAAGACTGCTGCAGTTACGAACAATATTCAGACACATGAGGATTTTAAGGTGTCTGTCTTCAAATAAACAATTACCCCTGAGAAACGCTCACAAACAGACTGCACACTTACACATGCATGCGCCAGTTTTGAGCAGACATACAAAATCACATGCACCTGCATGTTCCTAATGGTTTCCGATGCGCACAGTAATGGGCTACAGACAAAAGACGCCTACAGATAAATAGGTGCTTTGATGAAAATTGTGAAAAGAAACACCTGCTTGGCATCAAAAGTCAAACATTTGTGCAATTAAGGATTTACACAACATGTTGTCAGCTGAAGCGGTCAGGCATACCCTTCTGGAAATTCAATGAATTTAATGGCCAAAAGAAATGAAAAATCATGGTTGTTTCAAACCAGCATTGAAACTCTTTCATCCAGGGATGGGAAATATTCTAGATGCATGAAGAAACATAAGGAAGTAATGTTTTATCCAGCTAAACATGAGCAGCATTGATTACATATTGACCCGTGGTAATCTCAAATGAATGTGCCTGTATGTTTGCACACCTGCATCAATGTGTTTGCTCATACAGATGTAATTAATACCAACACAATTACCCAGGCAGTGAATGTAAAGGGTATAACACCACAATTTGTAGGATGCACTTCAAAATCCACACTTGACTGCTGCTATAGGCTATCAAAACCATCTTAAATATTTAACCAGCCTTGTTACTATCAGGTAATTGCATCACTCCTGTGCTTTAGTAAGGTCATTTTGTGAAGGTGAGAACAGCCAGTTCCCCAAACACCGGCCACAGGCCACTGAGAGTGGGAGAAGAAGTACCTTGGGGTTGAAGGCAGGAAGCAATAAGACGAACTGCTCAATAAAGGCATGTCTAATTGAGCTGTGAAGCAACAAGGATGAGGGATGTTGAGATTGGGTTTGACTGACATTGTCTGATGGGTCGCTGGGTGGCAGGTGGAACATTTTATTTATTTATTTATTTGAAGGCTTTTATCCAAAATAACAGCCCGTAAAAATAATGAAATAAATTAAATGATGTGATGGAGCATTATTATAAGCTGGAGCTAATTGAAGCACTTTGACAAATGGTTTCCCTTAAGGCAGGGTAAGAGCTGGGCAGGAAAACAGTTTCCTCACATCTTACATCGTGCACCAGTGCGCTTTGCCTAAGGGAGCGCGCGCACATACACACACACACACACAGACATACACACATAAAGAGAGAGAGAGAGAGAGAGAGAGACAGAGAGCGCCTCACTACTAATTTGCCGCGTCCAGTCTCCGTGCGCTCCTCTAGGCTACCTGCTTTGGAAAATGTCTTGACTTTCTCCCCTGAATTTTAGAGATGGAGTTCCCCACTTTTCCTCCCGAGGCTCTCGGTGATTTTAGCGAGCGCTTCTCGGTCTCCATAACTCCTTTCAACGTTACGTTCTCCGAGGATCGTGTGCCTTCAAGTAGTAATGAGACCAACCGGGCTGCGAGCAGGGACACTTCAAGTCTCATCATCGCCGTCTGTATCACGGCTCTCTACTCTCTCATCTGTGTGGTGGGACTGCTGGGAAACGTGCTTGTAATGTACGGGGTGGTCAGGTAAGGAATATATAATTAACAAAAACAATAAACTTATTAATAATAATAATAATAATATATATATATATATATATATATTGAAAATGGAGGAAAGAAATGTTATTTGTTATAAATTATAGCATGCATATTATTCTAAATTACCTTAAAGCTCCCTACAAACAACTCAATTAAGGGAATATTTTATTTGATGTATAAGAGTAATTTTTAAGAATGTAAATATAAGTACAAAAATACATTTTCACAGCTACCTCATTTTCTGATGGTCCTTTGTAATTGCCCACACTTTCAGTGTGTCTGAGAGGTGCTCTCCAACACACCCACACACACAAACACACAACTCCTACACACAAGAGGGGAGGGAGGGCGGTGTGATCTATAGCTTAGCATTGAAATTACTTCACTGCACCAATTATTGCTGTCAGGAATGATGGTGTAAACTCAGATGATTGATTTCATAGCATGTTGAACCTCACCTCAATCAATGACTGTGCTGCTGCGTCTCACTAATTCACGCATTTGAGATTTTGATAATTTCCTGATATGTTGATTTGTGTTTGAACTAATGCAGCTTAAATGAGAAAACAATGGCGGTGATGGGTGGGCCTCCAGGGTCTTAAATCACTGGTGAAATATGAGTTTCTGCACTTTGGTCTGTCAATTTCAGAATAATTGTGTGAATGTAAAAGACATTATGCCCACCCTCTCCCTGGAAAAGCAATTACAGAGTGAGATCAGTACATGGTGTACAGTGTAGTACATCTCTTTATGTGGGGGATTAAGATAAAAGGTGAGACATCCTTTTGTTTTCCCTCATTCCTTTAGACTCTTTAGCAGCGATTTAATTAAATGTGACCAACTACTGTCACATCGTGGAGGAATCCGTCTTTAAACAGCCAGACAACTGTTGCTGGCAGACTGGTCACTGCTACTACTCTATAAATCTGATATCAGGGAGGAGTTTTCACCCACTCATTACATAGAAGTGCAGTTTAATGGAAGCTTACAGTCACTTTGAGCATACATTTAGTGTAGTGCCATAAAAAGAAACATTATGCATCTAAAAAGCTCTATTACCAGTTTGATGTTTTTAGAGAGGAAATAACAGATCATTGGTTTGAGAAAGGAAATTGATTAGGTTATACAATAAATTGGTTTCTAACCTTGAGACCTTTCAATGGAAATTGTGAGTCAGCCACACTTGGCGTCTTCTCTTCGACAGTAGACAGACCTTGAAAAAAAAGTCAATCTCCTCTGACTAAAAGCCGTTTTTGTTGAGTGTGAGTTAGAATCACCTAGAAGTGTTTAGAGCTTTTCTTCCAACCAACCAGATACACCAAGATGAAGACCGCCACCAACATCTACATCTTCAACCTGGCTTTCGCCGACGCTCTTGCCACCAGCACCCTCCCCTTCCAGAGCGCCAAGTACTTGATGAGCACATGGCCCTTTGGGGAGCCATTGTGCAAAGTGGTCATCGCCATTGACTACTACAACATGTTCACCAGCATCTTCACACTCACCATGATGAGCGTGGACCGCTACATCGCTGTTTGTCATCCGGTCAGGGCCCTGGACTTCCGCACGCCTGCCAAAGCCAAACTCATCAACGTCTGCATCTGGATCCTCTCCTCTGCTGTCGGAGTCCCTGTGATGATCATGGCCGTTACCAAGGTGACAGATAAAGGTAAGAGATTTTTATTGCAGAAGAAAAACAATGCTTAAAATTACCCTTATTGTGTAAACACTTAAAAAGCACAAGCTTTTTCGCAGTGGCAAGTAAGGGAGTAATCATGCTGTAAAAAACACATAACACAAAGAACACATTTGAGCTGGGTTATTAACTTAAATTAGCCTCTCGATATGGCCCTCTATTAAACTTCTAATTGATTGAACTCCTCAGGAAACACCGCCTGCGTACTCAGATTCCCCAAACCTGAGTGGTACTGGGACACAGTGATGAAAATCTGCGTGTTCATCTTCGCCTTTGTGGTTCCTGTCCTGGTCATCACCATCTGCTACGGTCTGATGATCCTGCGGCTCAAGAGTGTTCGCCTGCTGTCTGGCTCCAAAGAGAAGGATCGGAACCTACGACGGATCACCCGCATGGTCCTGGTGGTTGTGGCGGCCTTCATCATCTGCTGGACTCCCATCCACATCTTCATCATCGTCAAGACCATGGTGGTTATTGATCACAAGAACCTTCTGGTGGTGGCCAGCTGGCATCTGTGCATCGCGCTGGGCTACACCAACAGCAGCCTCAACCCTGTGCTGTACGCCTTCTTGGATGAGAACTTCAAACGGTGCTTCAGGGATTTCTGCCTGCCCTATCGCTCGCGCCTGGAGCAGACCAGCTTCTCTAGAGCGCGTAACAGCACGCGGGAGCCTGTGTCTGTTTGTGCTCCTGCGCCAACAGAGAGACCGCCAGCCTGACTAGGCATGGATCAGTGGGAGGGGAGAACAGTTCAGGATGACCTCCAGACTGAGGTCACACAGTTCTCCACCACAGGAGTCTGAGTCTGCAGATGTATTGATCTACCATTCATGTAAATGATCGATTGTGTTTTTGGCTTTATATAATGAAACTCCTTTGTCCCAATAGGTTCGTGAGACACTGTTCTTTGAGGATTGTCTTTCAGGATGATCACAAACACGCCTGTGTGTGCCTGTGCATTAGGAAATTTAAGTGTAAACACACGTGTATAAAGCACAAGCATAATGCAACCATATGAACAAACACTCAGTCAGAAAGTATTGGGACCATGTTATGTTTTCAGAACAATAAGAAAAATGGGGGTTAAAGTGCTGACTTTGTGCTTTAAGGGGGTTTGTAGGTCTTCACATCCATATTAGGTGAACAATGTAGGACTCATAGCCCTGTGCTTACACAATCCCACAATGAACAGATTGTCAGGTGGGACATCGATCCTAAACACACAGACAAGGCCACCAAGGAGTCTTTTTATGGCCAGGAAGTGGCCGATGTACATGCTTGGCCGAGTTGGTCACTTGACCTCAGTCCAACCTATCATGGGTTTCATTTGATGAAGACCAGACTGACACGGAAAATCCCCTGTAGCAGGAAGAAAGGATGATGGCTGCAGCACAGCCTTGGCAGAGCGTCAACAAGCAGGAAACTGCTGTCTGCTGATGTCTGTTGGTCACAGACTTCAGCTATCATTTACTTGCTGCTAAGTATTACACAATATTACTTTATTCAGATTTATGTTAGCTTTTTATTCCCTAAATTTGGAAGACCATTTGTGAAGGGCTACAATTCAGGTACACTTTTAATGTGTCACCTTCAGTTCAACCTGAGAGAACTACTTTTTGCCCACTTGTGGGCAGAAACACAACAGTGACATATTATCACCTTTGAAATTGATATGAAGAACTTGATAGCAAACAGTTGTTTATTTACACATCCAGCAGTTATGTTATTATCATTGATTTGGAGTCGTGTCTCTGGCTACTTGACAAATATAAGTTGAATAATTGCTCTTCTTTTTGCTCTATTTTTGTTTTCTACCAACTGAGGGTAACATCTGGCTCTTTAGCAGCTGAAGGCTCCACCATGTTCACCTTCTAGGCTCTAAATGTGACTGTTTGTTTTTTTGCTGAAAACAGCTGCCTTCTCTGAGTGAAAACAACACAATAGCAGTTAGAATGAATCAAAACAATAAAATTGGTGGCTAAAAACCAAAACGCTCCATAGCTTTAACTATGAGCAACTCCTTTTACATTCCACATTGTCATTTGATCCATTGATAATATAAAAAATTTTTTTTAGCAGCTTTAAAGCTGAGTTTACATTAAGCCAGGACATTAACCTCATAGTGTTTAATTTAGTGTGCTGGAGAACAGCACGATGAAAAATGTGTCTCTGTCCTAATACTTTCTGCACTGGATATCTAGACTGGTAATAGTATTGTCACTCAGCCTCACAGGGGAGGTAATGAAAATCCAATAATGTGAATGTTAAGCTGAGACAACACTTTCATTGTCTCTGGAATATTTAAATTAAAGGATGTATCGAATTTCATGCTCATTCTTGTGATGGTAAGAGGAGAAAGAAATTACTGACAAAGGCCAGACACACAATAAGAACAATTTTAAAGCAGGTGAAATTCTATACGACCACTGTGACGACATGTTTCAGCGTCTCTTTTTTATCCATCCAATACATGATGAAAGATCCTTGTGAAAGAATATGGCCTTCATGATTAAGCAGAGTTGCCTGACACAGCATATATTACCCATGAACATCATCTGACTCATTGTTTCCACTCCTCCAGCAGGGGTTGCTCTTTTTTTTTTTTTTTTGGTTTTGTTTTACACAACCAAAACATTTAGCTGACAGTACACTGAGGAAGTGAAGGGGAAAGTGCCACTGCTCATAGTTGTGACCTCAAACTGGCACAGACGCAAGTCTGAATGGATCCAATGCATTAGCAAGCAACTCGAAGCTTCCTATACATAATACAGCTAATGGACAATTTGGTTGGACGCTTGCAGGAGGTGATTGCAGTGAAATTTTTTTTGCACAATTTTGGAGAACAGTCAAACTGATGCCTCTCATCTTTCCACAGCAGCAATGCAGTTTTGTTTAAAAAAGCTATCTATATGAAGTGTAAATACGGTATTGTTCTGTAACAGCATATTGAGTGATTATGTGATTTATTTAGTTTCAATGTGCTGTCAAGCTGTTGTAACATTAAGTTTCACTTGTAACCAATTAGTAAAAGCAACTGTTATATAAAATAATATGTATTTACACTAAGTGCTATAAATGTAAGGTGACGCATTATAAATCTTAAAAAAAAAAGAAAAAGAAAAGGTTCCTGTTTCCTGACTGGACTGTCTAACTTCGTATCACCATCACTGTAAGAAGAGCATTTATAAATGTTTTCTGCAGTGTGGTCACTGAATGAATGAATATATGTACCGTAATGCCTTATTCAGCATTATGTTTAATACTTGTTTTGTAGAGAAAAGTGTTTGATCTTTAAGTGTTTTCACATCTTGTGTTTCAGCAGTTACAGTATATAAAGTACCTTATTGTATAGGTGTAATAACAATGTTTGTCTTTTGAAAACATTAATACAATATGTGTCTTATTATATAATATCTCATATGGAATAGCATGAATTGTATCTTACAAGTGCTTTTAACTTGAAATATTGTTGTAAATAACTTTCAGTTTTAATCCAATATTTTGTTTTTTTGTGGTTGTTACATTTGTTAACATTTATACTCTTTGTAAATGCCAGTTAGGCCCCAGTGGGAATTGGATTACTGATCAGGGGGATCCCCAGGCCCCAGGGACAAATAGGCCTATGACACATCTAAAGTGTGTGTAAAAAAAGTGTGGGAATAAATGAAAGCACAATATATAATAGGTCAGGGATGATACCAGATGATTAGCTTGTTTTACAATGTATCACTTGAAGAATAAGGCAGGTGATATTCTATATTTTTATTGTTTTGTATTGTTTTATTGTTATTGTCAACAAAGACCAAGAACAACAATGCATTAGTCCGTCTGTGACTTTCAGTCCAATGACTATTGATTTCTCCCAAAGATCTGAAAAAAGGGTTACTTTCATTTAAAGATTATATTTTCTGAAAATAGCTGGGCATTGTAGTTTTTAAGCACATTGTAGTCAAACAGGAGTAAATCGTGCATTTCTTGGGGTCAATTTTCAGGGCCCACATTGAATGTAATGAAGGAAAATGTCATCCAGTGACTGATGTGTTTTTAATTCGTTTGGACAACAATGAAGCTGGGACACAGAGGAATATGTTATATCAGGATTTGGCTTATTTTTAGCATCTCCCACAGAGTCATTGTTGACTTTTGTCTTTTCACACAATTTGTTGACAGTAAGACAAATAGCATCACCAGATTTATCCTTTAACTGTCTAAAAGTGACACAGGCCCAAAGCCCTGGTTGATTATCATGTTTATCACAGTTTCTGTACACTCATCTTAGAGAAAATGATCGAAATAAACCACTGTACTATCTTTTTAAGAGAAATCAGATTCTCATTGAATGCGGGTCCCACTGGAGTGCAGTTCGGGTACAAACAGTCATGGCTGGTCAATACCCACTAACACTTAATAAGACATGCCAGTGAAACCCACAGTAGATGTGTTGGAAATAACTTCTCTTGGTTTTTGGTCGATGGATTATATGTTCACCTGGTCTTCCATTTAAGTTCTTGCACACATTAAAGGGCTGAAATCATTCTCTGCTGAAAGACTGATGATGTCTCACAGAATAGAAACCTTGATTAGAAGGCGTCGGTCACCCACGTTTCTCTTTCAGACTGCTGCGGATGTTGAAAGATATCAATCAAATGACTGGAAGAAGCTTCTATTCAAGACATCATAGAGCTCCCAGCAAGAGAGCAGACAGACACCAGAGGGGGTGCAGGGCTGATTGTAGATTTCCTCTGTGCCACAGAGCATACAGTAGGATCCCTATGAAATATACATGGCTCTGCCTACACGTTGCATGTGTAAAAAACAAATGAAAAAGCAACAAAATGAATAATTTAGTCAACCACCATGAACTGGCTTCTGACTTTACTAGACTGCAAGTTGGCCTTTTTAGAATGTGCCTACACAAACACCTTTGTTTTTTTAAATTTGTTTTCTCTTGGAGCTTACATGCAACAGGCATTAAAAAAAAAAGATTTGCTATCGAACGTGTACAGTTACACACCAGAGACCAGAATGACACACGGATAATTAAATGCTTTCATTTCAGAATCAAGAATTCAGAAATACTTTACATTGGATCCTCCCGGCGCGGGGGGGGGAATTTGACCCTAACTAATGGTTGCTCATGCACTCAAACAAATTAACAGAGCTGAAGCATCCATAACAGCTCTCAGTATTCCCTTTCTATTACCAAAAGCTCAGAGCCTTCAATGGTTTTCAAAAGGCATCCAAGATTTTGTTTTCTGCTTCTTATGGACGAACCTTGTTATGTGACAGCCTCTGCTCATTTGTGTGTGAGGGAGACTTAATGAAGAGATTTTCTGTATGCGAGTGAGGGAGCAGTCTTACTCCTCAGTTCACTGTGAAGACCGATATGTTGCTCGGTCTGATGGAACACTATAATGTTGTTTGGCCACTTAGATAAAAACACGTCGGCTCCATTACACCACAATATTGCAGCCATATAAATCTTTCACCATAACAGTCGTTTAGGCGTCAAGACAGTCACCTACACACTGTAACCGGAGGTTTTTCACGTAACACAGCATCTTGGCCTATCAGTGCTGAGCCAAAACTGTATAATTCAAAACTAGAGAAGGAAAATACACCCAAAAGGAATTAGTTACTGTGATGATGATTATGCAGAGATTCTGGTAATGGATTTGGCAATTTGGCCTGCTGCTCTGTGTGACAGACGCCTGCCGTAACACAGATAATCAGACCTCCTGGTTGCCTGAGGTGTTTATGAAATGTCAGAAGTGCAAAAAGCTCTGAAGCAGTTTTACTGGATTTTTCACAAAGCGGCAAATACTCGGGTATTCCCTGCTGAGGAGCAGAGACAGCGATTCAAACTGGGTGCCGTCTGCCAGCTGAGAGTCATAAGGGACTGTAAATTATTGTTCTGGTGAGAAGGGACTGAACCTTATATTTCACAAAAAGTAATATAGCTTGTGTGAATCACCTTAAATCATAATATCTTGATGGAACTTATAGTGTGCATCAACACATAGCGTTTTTTTCTCAGCACCAGTGTCTTTTCTAAATGTTTCCCAATGACAGGAGAGCACGCATACGCATTTGCCATCCTTATTCAGAGTGCTTCGTCTTTTTTGTGTGGCCACTTTAAGCACTTCTAGTTGAAAATCTCAGAACTTTTTTAGAAAGGTGCTGGTGTCATCCCTGTTGCTCCTTTTCAGGGAACAAATCAGATTAAATGGGGGATTTGTGACCCTGATAACCAAGAAATGGAGGAAAAGCTTGTTCTGGACATCTATCCTGAGGCTTTATGATATGTCAGAGAAAAACTCATAACAGAGACAGAAAAGAAATTAATGAAGAAAAAAAAACCTATGCCAAGATTTCTCAACCACTTTTACTGTCATTTATGTTTGTGTTATCTTCTCTGTCTCTCTCCTCTGCCTGAGGTCGGAGCTAAGCTCCTACACACACACACATACACAGACAGAGTTGAAGGGTGGTGAAGGGAGCTGATGAAGTGAAGGAAGTTGAGGACAACTTGAGTAAAACGTAGAAAAGGGACATTTAAAATCGCTTTGTCTACAGTTGTCGCTTTACACAACCAAACCACAGCACGTGTTAATAGCTAGTTGTTAGAAATGGCCAAGATATTGTTGTCATAGAAACAAAAGCCACATGCAGCGTCTCCCATTCATTTCCATGCTATGTGAGCGCAGGGGCAAAAAAAACCCTTAGCCTCCAGTGGCAAAGCAGATTTGCATCTCAGGTATGCGTGAAGTTCAACATTGGTGAACTTTTACCTGGAAAGTCGCAGCCTCAACCCTAAAACAAACTACAAGGCCTCAGCATGTAATGGTCACTCGACTGCATTCGCTCGCATGTGTGACCGTACTACACAATTGAATCTATGAGGAAACTCTCACTGGTCCAGTTGCATTGTGGGTAATGCAGGAGCCAAGTCTCGGTAAGGAAGAAGAATGTGTGGAATAATAAAGAACAATATCTCTGATGAGTTCGACAATGTTATAGGAGTGCAATGATAAATCCTCTACATATGGCAAAGTGCACCTTTATGAAACATGGTATTGGTGAAAATGGTCTTTTTGATTATTATTATATAATATTAACTACAATTTCAATAACAATAAATGTACATTAAAGGGATGAGTCATACACTATGATGCTTCATTACCAGGGTTTGATGCCTGTTGTCATCTGGTCAACATAATGGATGAACATATGTCAGAACAAGAAATCAAGGGCTTCCTACAAGTCCCTGCACAGCTGTTGGTCCTCCGCTGCGGGGCTCACGAGAAGCCCTCAGCCCACTGGACGAGGAGTTCAATCTATCAATGCAATCTCGAGTAATCACAAGTATGGTCCACAGGCCATGGAGTACCAGCAGCTTAACAGCAAGAAAGCTTCTCATTAGCTAATAATACCCTATTTGGTTTCCTGTGCACATGCTCACAGAAATACACGTTTTCTCAGCATAAACCATTCTCCTATTAGAGCTATCTATTCTGCCATGGCAACAGTTGAGTATTTTATACATGTAGTACTCCATACATCATTTCACGCATTAGTAAAAGCCATTTGTTGTTTGTTGTTTTGATACAACCACTGAACAGCAGCAACTGCTTTTTGTCAAATTTGACACAGGAAGGGATATGAATAATGTGCTGGTTTGAAGTGCTGGTTTTGAAGATAATGTTGTTACAAGGGGTTTGTAATGTTATCTTAAGGTACAGGTATATAACCTGTATATGTATATAGTGGAAAAGAAGTATGGATTAAATGCTTTCTCACACAAATACACAGACAGGATGTAATTTGAGGGCAGCAATGATAGAAAATTGTAAATAGATGTTAAGTGTTTTGTGGGTAGCATGTTGTGTTTGAGACTACTTTTGCTTTCTATCACTGTCATCTTTTTTGTTCTGCGTCCTCACTTCCCACATACACTTGTGTGTAACATATTTTATCCAAAATGTGTGGTTTCTCTGTGTGTTTGTGTGCTAGAACCAGAGTAGGAAGGGAATGATCTGGACAACAGCTTCCTGCTGCGCCATATTCAACAGGTTCCTACAACGATGGATCACTTGATGAAAGCAACCCAGAGTATAGCCACTCTAAAGCATTCAAATCATCACAAAACCTTGGATTTCTTGATTAAGATGTACTTGAGAAACAGCACTCAGCACAATTTGATATGACAAGTTAATTAAGAAAGCAGCAGGGTGACTCAAGGGCTGCCACATCCCAATCAAGGCAGAGCTAAAAGATGCAAAATTTGTTCTATTGTAAGGTTTTAGTTTTAATAGCACAATGTTTATGAATGCATCACGCAGACTGTAAGAAGCCCGTTACAGATGTGCAGTGTAAAGCACGTGCCAAGACAGTGTCACCAAAACAAAAGCTTATGAAAGCCTTATGTACAGCTATGATTGGTGCAGCCAATTGCTGCGATTAATTTGCCTGCCTCCATTATTAGAGTGAATGTGTGCCGATGCAGGTGCCTGAGACTCCTCTGTCTCCTCTGTGATTAGTTCTACGAGAGGAAGATTAGAACCCACATACACTATGAAAAATCCAGTTACACTTTCTACAAGTGAAAGGAATTAATCACAGGATGCCATTGCCAAGTCCCTGTATGAACGTTCCTCTTTGTGCTGGAAATGTAGAAGGTTTCTGGGTTTTAGAGCATTATCAGCCTTTGAATGCACCCGCATGTGGAAAGCTGTTAACAGAATGTCAAAGACGGATGGTTTTAACAGCCTACCCAAACATCACAGCTTTAAAAGAACTGAGATTTATTGTTTTGGAGGTCTGAATTTGAGGAACCAAAGCACAGAGATGCAGCAATTACATTTAGAAAAGTTAAAGAAAAAAGAAAGAAAAAAATGTCTCCTAAAAGAAATGTTAAATTCAGGCACAGTGGGTGATAATCAGAGCATGTCTAAAGGCCACTTAATCAGTGTTGTAATAAAAATGACTGAATATGTCTGCTTGGTGCTTGACAGTGTAACAACTCATCACTGAACCAAGGCAACATTTCAGCAGAGAAAATGTATCTGAAAAATAGTAAAGGGTTGACCCATCAGACAAAGTGTCTAAAACTGCAGTCCCACTTCAGTGGGAAACAGTAGCTTCCAAAACAGGCATCATTTTCATCACAGTACAAACAGAAAATTCTTACAAAATAGTATTAATAGCAGTGTAGACTAACAATACTTTACATAACTGTCTCTATGGTACCTGTAACCCTTTATGTTCTTTTTGAATGTTTGTGAAAAACATTAATACTAGACATGCATTTCTTTTAATGCCCAGAAGCATTTTAAATATGTTGTCTACTACAAAAACAATCATCACTCTTGCTGTTAAAAGATTCTCACAGCCACTGCTGAGGTAACGGGCCCTTCCATTCAAATGTATTCCTGACATTTTCTTCTTTGTCAAAGGATAAACAGTGAGGCAAAACAAACAAGGGAAGAGGCAGACTATGATCAATTAACTGCTTATAAAAGATTCTTTAGCATTTCAAAGCTTTTTGAGAAGTTCTTTTTGCCACGAGCGATTTTTAATTTCATCATCGGTCCTTTTGGCCAGATGAAAGCAACATGAGGCAAGCGAGGACCCTGTGAATTTCCCTCCAGATAAAACATGTAGCTTTGATGTACGTACTTGTACCATCATTAGCATCCTTAAGGGTTTCTGATTTACATTCATAGCTCGTGTGTATGGAATGTGTTGTTTGCATATATAATAGACATAAAGCAGCTAGGGTGTAAGTGCTTTATGTCAGCAACTTTTTTTCGTCCACACAGTACTTAGAAAAAATGGCTAAAATTGACATGGTGTGTGCAGAACTAATGTTAATATCCAGCACTACAGTCGAGTTAAATTTGTTGTATTAGTACAAAATGGATTGGACTGCAATATTATATACATGAACAATAAGGGGATATGACAGAATGTACTATGAGCCAATATAATTTACTTTACTTTCAGTATTTCTCCCTTTAATATCTCTGGGTGCATTTTACTATAGTTCATCATGTTGAAAATCAGTGAACATAACAGATTTATGGCAATATTGGATTCCAGTGTTATTTTTACATCAATTTGATGAAGTTTATTAATTTGTCAGATGTTAAATTCACTTTAGACAAAAACAGAAAGTCCCATCTTAAAGCTGCAGTAAGTTAACACAAAAAATAATTTTATATTTGCTTAAATTTTAACTATATCCTGACAGTAGTACATGAGGCAGGTAATCTATGAAACAAACCAGGTTCCTCTGGCTCCTCCTTGTGTTCCTAATAACATTTGCCAAAAATCCACCGGGCCTAAATGAAAGCTTGTTAAATACCAAAATATACAGTGGATAAGAAAAAGCTTAAAAACTTAAAATGTAATCTTTATTTTCAGACAGGGAAAGCAACAAAATGCAGGATACAGTATGATGTGTTACCAAATGTCCAAATAGCCACAGCAATGTTGTGTGCCTAAGGTACAATGAACAGTAGTCTCACATATTAAACTCGCTCGTATAAATGTCCTGTCTGAACCTAGGTCAATGGAATTATTGCTTTAAAGGAAAGAAAAAAAAATAAAAGTTTAAAAGATTATTGTTTGGGGAAGTCATTAAAAGGCTTACACTCTTTTTCTTTACGTACATGCCAATATCACATTTACAAACATCACATATATCATCTTACAGTCATACTAATGACTTTTAATGAAAAGAATTCAAAGTGAACACCAAAAACTAGATTTAAAAAAATAGTCTCTCATTTGTCATGATCTACTGAACATCCATGAACACCCCCCCCCTCACCAGAGGAGAAGCGTTCCCATAAAAGGGCTTGAATCTCACCTCTACCTCGGCTCAGCACAGGAAGTTGCACATAGATTAACACCATCCCCAGATTTAGGCATCGTGAACAAGGCCCCACCTTGAAGCAGATCGAAAGATCCCCCATAATTCTGCCTGCGATGGACATCAGCTTTCCTGCTTGTCTTTGACCAAAAGGACTGTGTGCTGCCCTCCACTGGAGGCCATCAGTACTACGCGGTTCTCGAGCTGCTTGCCCGTCACCTTTACGGGGCTCCACTCATCATCCTCCTCTCCTGTGCCAAGCTGCAGGTTGGTGCCCATGCCCCAGGCATACACAGACCCTGGAGTTAGCACAACAGTGGACAAGAGTCAGTGGAGTGAGCATTAATTCATATCAACTAATAGTATATATAAAACTTGTTATAAGAGATATTTTCTGTACATCAAGATATTCTTAAAAAAGGACCTATGTTTGTGTTTTCCTGACTAAGACCAGTAAGCAAGTGGAAAAGACAGAAGAATCAATCAAGAATCAAGAATCTGCCGTTTGTTTGTCATTAAACCTGTAAAGGAGTAGGTCAAGGTGGAAAGAGTACAAAGAGTGTGACTTTGATACAGACAAACGTTTAGGTCCAATGTCATAGTTTGTGTTGTTTTAACCATAATGGCACTCATGAGCCATATGGGTTGTTTTGGAAGGCAAACCACTGATTCTGTCATTGAGGTATGATAATCAATAGTATTTAGTAGTAAGTTATTTGACACTCTTATGAAACGGAATCAGATTCAAATCACTGCATTTGCTTTGTTTCTCACCTTCTCTGGTGACAGCGAAGCTGACAGATGCTCCACATGCCACACTGCTGGCCGCCTCAATCCCCATCACAGGCGTGGGCTCACTCTTCTCTTCAGCCCCCTCGCCCAGACCAAGGCGCCCATACTCTGCTCTGCCCAGGCTGTATACATGCCCTAAAAGATGGAGAGAAGAGGGAATCATTTATTGTTTGTTTGTCAAAGTACTTAAATAAACCCAACCATTTTACCTTGTGTCTTTTGTGTTTTAATAGGTTTGACATTTTAAACAGTTTTTAAAGTTGTATTACCTTGCAATGCCTTATCTTGTTGTAAACCAGAATATGAGATATTGTTGAATTACAAACAAAAACAGTAGTACTAACATATTACCAATTACAACCTATTTAGTTTTAACAGCCACACAATGAAAAACTGCATCAGACATGGCTTGAAAGAGCAATTAGTTGGAGCTTACCTTCAGCATCAAGGCAGAGTGTGTGATGTTGTCCTCCAGAGAAGTCCACCCAGGAGGTGGTAGAGTTCTTGAAGCACGTTAGTCTTACTGGGAAAAAGCACATCTTGGTGCTTTTAGTGCCTGAACAGAAGAATAAAAAAAGAGTAAGGGCACATAAAATAACCTTGCAATGTCTGACGCAATTAACTTCAAGCAAAGTATGAGCAACTGACTCGTAGCTCACTGCAAGTCAACAAAGATACCACTACAGTGAAAACTCACATTATAAAAAAGACTCACCACTGATGCCATACTAACCCAGCTGGTGATAGTTGGTGAGGCCAAATCCATAAATATGTCCCTCTTTTGACACAGCAAATGTGAAGTACGCCCCACAGAAAGCATCTATGAAGTGAACTTTCCCTTTGACTTTAACTATCTGTGGTTCCAGCAACCGGCCTGAAGCACAAGACACACAGTCAGCCAGAACACCACAGTAATACACAGTACACACAAACAATACATCAAAATATCCATTATTAATGTAATCACATAGCTAAGATTAATGTACATGTAAAATCTTGTACAACTGTATTCTAAATTGATGCTTTGGGCTTGGAAAGGCTCGTTACTCACTGAGGCCTTTCCTTCCTCCTCTGTTTGAAAAAAGCTCAGGCACTCTTCCCAGCTGCCCCTGCTCTCCAGTGCCGGATGAGTACAGATTTCCCTGCACCGTAACCAGTATCAGGTGGTCATTACCTTTTAAAGGATTCATGAAAATTAGTTGATAAGCAGTGTACCAACAAAAACATACAGCGCTGAAGAGGACCGTTTCTTACCTGATGCGATTTTTACAACAGGTTCCGTCATGGGGACCTTGACTGGAACGGTAGATGTTTTATTGGACTCCAGCAGACCTATAACACCATTGTTATCCTGTGAGAAAAGGGTCCAGCATATTAGGTTAGTGTATGGAGGTCATTTGTTGGGATGTATAATGCGCATACAGAGAACATTTAAAATATAGATCAGATCTAAGATAGCAAAAACACTGCTGTGAAAGGGAAGGCAGAAGCTAGGCAGAGGTAATAGAGATGTAATTGCCACTGTGCCGCTGAGTATTAATAATGAAAAACCAAGGAGTAATGTAGGAGTGTTAGTAAGTGCAGTGAGATGAAAACTATTCTTACATGAAATGAACTTGCTCTTGACCTTACATTAAGAGGAATGAAATGGAAGTGATAGTCATTTACAGTTCACAATAATGGATAGATCTCCTATAGTTGGGCCAGATCTCTTGATGGGATTCTGTGAAGAGGGGAGGGTTGATACATTATCAAGCCTTGAAAATAAATGTACTGATGAAGTGAAAACGTGGAGAATGTTTGGGGATTTAAACTCTCAGTCAGGGGCGGAGCTAGAGGGGTGGCCGAGGCAGCACTGGTCACCTCTGGAACCTGATTAAACACCCCGGTGCCACCCCAGTTGATTGACAGGTCACTGCACGTTACGTTGAAAACAGCACGATTTTCAAACACAAATAGAAAAGGCAGAATAAAGGTCTTTCTGCGTCTAGTGTCCGTGATGTTCA